AGAAAGTAGAGCTTTTGATTTGAGTTATAATATGTTGACGATTGTTATTGAGCATCATAAATGTGATACTTGACGATGCATGTAACACCTATAATCATTATACATGACTTCTTTGGATCATGAATCCAAAGAATATAAAAAAAAAAGTAATATGTTAAGTTCATAATGATTATACTACTGACAACACAACCTACAAATGTTTAACCCAAAAAATAATTACTGGCTGACGATAGATTCTTGAGGAAAGGAAATACATATGTCGATAATTTGCCAATACTTACCGNATGTAGGCATATGGAGTTTTTGTGTGTGGATAAAGTGACATATGAATCCTTGAAGAAATAGTGTAACATTGTTTAAGAAAAAAAAACTCTCAATTTTTCCTCTCTATTCAGTTTTTGAGGTGATTTGCACTTTTGTTTATTTGAGGCGTCATTCAATAAGAGAAATATGATATGGGTTTTTGTTAATATAAATATAGTATTTTCGTCTTTTAATTGAAGATATTCACACTAAAATTGGAATTATACAAACATATGAATCTCTCAATTTGGAATTATGTAGATATATGTTTTTTTTTTTTTGTGGATAAAGTGGCATATATATTTTTGATGAAACAAAGTAACATTGTTTAGCATAATAGTCTCTTATAATCTCCCAATTCTTCTTCTTTATTCAGTTTTTGTGGATGTGTTTTGTTTTTTTGTTGATTTAATGCGTCATTCATGAAAACAAATATGATATGAGTTTTTGTTTTTGTTGATGTTAATCGGTCTATTGTGATTTTTTTTTCTTTTTTAGCATTGAGCTTGAAAATTATTTTCTAATATTTTTAATTTTTAAAGAAGAAACCAAACGTAATGAGGTGTTATCCTGTAAACATAGAAACCCATTTTTTTCTTAGATTTTTTATTTTTTAAAATATTTGATATTATCTAAAAGACTTTTCCATCCCTATATTTAAAATATGAAATTCAATATAATACATATCTTTTATTTTGCATAATTTTCAGGATTTTTTATAAATAAACCAAACTATGAACTGTCTAAAAAAAAGTGGTTTTAATGAGGTTCTTGACCAATGTTGCAAATGAGTATATCATGAACTAATATAAGCAAATTGCAAAAATATTCAACAATTATATCAATGTAAATGACAACACAATTATTGTTTGGTGAATATAAATATTTTATGAAAATATATGTAGAAGATAAATTGATATGTATTATGGTAAAATAATTCTCTTAATACACCTCATGATTATAATCAATATTTCACATATTTTTTTTATGATTTTGAACCAATCACAAAGTTTGATATAATAAAAGATTGATATATAAGACTTAATAATTATATATATATATATATATATATATATATAATATTAAAAGAACAACCAATAATGATAAGTTAGATTCATATATCAAAGGTAATGTTGATTTTTATTGGTTTAATATATAAATGTGATCATCGACTCATTTAGCTAATTTCAATAAATTTTTAAAAAAATTATCGTCATCGTGCAACGCTCGATGTCAAACACTAGTTAGTTTAAAATAGAGACGAAAGTTAATGGTGATTTGCAACCAATGAAACAAAATATAACTTACTCTTAAGTTTAATATAAACAAATATTTTAAAACATGATTGTTTTAAGTCATTTCTCTCGTATAAATTGTTCTTCTAGTCATAACTTTTCATTATTTACCTAAATATCACTATATTTGCAAGTCCCACTTCCGCCACTTACGGACCCAGCTAAAAGACAAAAAAAAATTTATCAAATTTGACCCGAAATCCACAATTGTAACGGTCAGGTCTGCAATTGCGACGGCCGATTCTACAATTTGATTTTTTTGTCTTTTAGCTAGGTCCACAAGTGAAGCAYAKGGTTTTTACGGARGGCRTGATATTTGTATAATTCAKGAWGATAAATGGCTACACGAYCAATTTATGTATGAGAAACAACAATTTAAGTTAAAAATATCTACGTCATTATCGTCTATGGTTGTATACTTGTTGATTGAGTGTTGGTTGTTGACTCAAAGTCAACCCTCATYTTCAGACGCATGATTAAATAGGAGTCTTGACCGGCCTGAACAATTTAAAACTAAAGTAGATTTTATTATCTTAATTATGTTTATACATGTTGCTTGTCAATAATAAAATATCTAAATGAAATAACCCCACAAAAGTTGATTGTTTATATGCATGTGACTCGTCGACTACTAAACCAACAATGCATGGAAATATATATATATATATATATATATATATATAGGGAAAGGTTCAAACGAGAACCCCTGTGATTTACGAAAACGCGAGAACAACTTAATAACCATATATTGTGATAAAGATAAAATTAAAAGATTTTTAAAATTAAAAAAAGATTCAAAAAAATTTAAAATTAATAAGGGTAAAAATGGAAATGATATTTATCTTAAAAACGGTTAAAATCTATCATTAAACATGATATCTTCTCAATTATCACGATAACTTCTCAATATCATCATCATCATCTTCTAAACCGTTACGCTTAAAAAGGCTACTCTTCAAATC